GGGCTGTTGTTACAGTGGGTCAGGGAGGAATATGTGAGAACCCAGGTCACTCACTTGGGTTTCTTTTGGTCCTTCTTTCCTCACTTGTGACTGTAGGTGATCAGGAACAACAACCCCATTCTGACAAGGCCATGTGTCTGTTTGGGCTGCTATAACCAAATACCAGAGACTGGATAGCTAAGACAGCACACAGTTATGTCTCAAACAACAAACATTCAGTTCTGGAGGCTGGGAAGTCCAAGATCAAGGTACCAGCAGGTTCTGTGTCCTTCAAGGACCTGCTTCCTGTTTTCAGGTGGCTGCCTTCTTGTTGTGTCCTCACGTGGTGGAGAGGGGGGGGGGGGGGGCTCGGTCTCTCTTTTCTTATAAGGACATTGATCCCATTATGAGAGCCTTACCCTCATGATTTCATCTAAACCTAATTACCTCCCAAAGGCCCCACCTCCAAACACTGTCATACTAGGGGTCAGGGCTTCAACCCCTAATTGTTTTTTTTGTGGGGGGGCGGTGGGACAAACATTGAGTCCATAGCAGCGTGATGATCGAGGAAATACTGTCATACTAGGGGTCAGGGCTTCAACCCCTAATTTTTTTTTGCGGGGGAGGGAGGACAAACATTGAGTCCATAGCAGCGTGATGATCGAGGCTCAGACCCCTTGGTGATGAGGATCTGGTCATGCCACCTGGAAAGGTGAGAGGTGTCTACACAGGCAAGGAAGAAGGAGACAATGAGTATCCGTCTGTCTCTTACACTGATTGCCGCAGTGGGGGCTGAAGTTTGTCCCACTAACTCTGGTCTTCTAAGTTTTCCCTCAGGAAGAGAGACCCCCTGGAACCCTGGAGGAGACGCTCCATGTGTGTACATGACATGGATGGGCGTGGTGCAAGGGGTGGACTGTGCTAGACACAGAGATGAGTCACTAGTCTCTCTTCAAGGAAGGACTCACAATGACCTGTGAGGACTGCAATCAGCACACAGCCTCCAGCCACCGGCTCCTGGAGAGCTGGCCCAACTGAAGAGTCACACCTGCCTGAGGTCATGCCCTTCTGGTGGAGGTGCAAAGGCTTGGACTCCTGATGGGCAGTCCTTCCCCAGAGCTGCCTGCTGGGGCTTGGTTGGGCCTGCCTCACAGTTTGGCTTCTCTCTTTGCTCGTCTTCTTTCTTCCCCTTCCTTTTAACTAATGCCAATTCCTAATTAGCACTTTGCACTCACATTTGTCTCAGCATCTACTTCAGAAACTTCAACTGGCTACAGCCTAAATGCTTTGAAGGCAAAGGAGGAACTTACCAGCTAGGTAATTTGAAGCAAGCTGTTTCTGCATCCGTGAAATGGAGATAACTCTTCTCAGAGTCGTGTGAGGCTTGAGATCGAGTGTGTAAATGCTTGGCACAGTGGTCGGCATGTAACTGCTTGTAGTGTTTAAAAAGGGAGCGCCCATAGAAACTGACAGTTTCCCCTGCCCACACTGCTTGGTGAGTTCTCTGATGAGGAGGGAGAGCTGAGTATTCTGTTTTCTGGCCACTTTGTTGGTGATAATAATACCTAATATTATGTAGAATGAACTGTGAGCCAGGCACATAAGTGTCTCACATATATTAACAAACCCACACAACAGCCTGATGAGGAAGGTGCTGTTTTTTTAGTCCCATTTTACAGATGAAGAAACTGAGGCACAGAGCAGTTCACAAATTGGTGTCAGTTCCCAAAGATTGAAAGTGGGAGAGCTGGGCTTTGAACCCAGGTACCTGGCACCAGAAGCTGTGCTCTTGCCCACTAAAGTACATTTCCTCTTGGTTGAACTTTATTCTACAAAGAGCCTGATGAAGAATGGGCATCATGGTCTCTAACCTCCCACTTCCCCATGACACCCTTCCAGAACTAGTTTTTTTGAATAGGAAAGATGGAGAGGATAGGAAGATGTCACCTGCCAGCAGATGGGCCGAGGGTCAGTAATCCTTTCTGAAGGAGTGAGGGAGAATCCAGCATCTGTGTCCCTGGGCTGAGGTTCCAGCCAAGAGGAGCCCCCCTGGCAGAGGGTATAGGATAGGCATTGACAATGGCAGCTTCCTTGCAAAATGTGGGTGTTTGCAAATAACTAACTCAGCTTTTTCAACATGTCTTTATTTGCTTAAATTAACAAAATATAGGCTACATGCTCTTTTCAGGTAAACTGCTTTTTCACTGAAGCAGAAAGCAATATTCACAACCTGATGCTACTACATACTTGGAGTTTTCATTTTTAAATAGCAAGCCAGAATTCTGTACAAAATCAACATTTGGCATAATGTTGTCCAAATATGTGAAGGATTTTAAATGTTAGCTCCGTTACATTTTGTTCCAGCAAAGCAGACAAAGATCATGATTCAAAACACGATGTTAATATTTTATTAGATGCCTCAGGGCTTAATAAATACAGTATGCACATTGGGCTTTCTCATGTAGCTACTCAAATGCAAATATACCAGTTATCCTTGCGGGGTTATGAAAGGTCAGCCTCAGTCTCATGGCCAGTGGGGAGTCAAATTTTTTTTAAAAGAAAGAATAAAAGATTAAAAGGCAATAAGAAGAGGTAGTGATAGGCCTGAATGGAAAGGATAAAGAAAAATATGCCACTTGGCTGGTCAGTCGTTTGGTTCAGAGTGACAGTGGTCAAAAGCCTGGAAAGCATCTGGCAGTGACCTATTTTCAGAGTGCCGCAATGTGATGAGTGTCATGCTGTCCTGGCCCTGGAGTGCTGGTCACCCTGGATGATGTCATCCCTGAGGTTCTCTGAGGATGGGCTCCAAGGCTCTCCTACGGGTTTTCATTCTGATTAATTAGCTCTGTTAGGCAGGGTTGGCTAACTCTCTTCTGAGCTCTGCACTAGGCATTGGTGTCCATGGAATTTATTACCCAAACTGGGACAATGTTCAGAGTTTAGGCCACACTTACTGGTAATTACCCTGGAACAATAGGTATAAACCAGGATTGTCTGAGGCAAACCAGGTGCTGGTCACTCAAAAACATACAAAACCAACATTTTAACCTTGGTTCTCAGAAGGTCATTGTATACTAACCATGGGGTTAGATCTAATTAAATATATATACTCAGAGTCAAGAACTATACACAGGCTTTAGAATACTCTCCATTACAACTTTATACTACTTTCCTTAGACCTCTTTCTCCCTTCAAATGAAATTTTACTGAGAAGTCTAACGTATACAAAAGATGAAATCTGAACCACTCTGAGTGACATGGGCCTGAGGGCTGAGAGCCACTTCTCCCTAGCAGCCCTGGAGGGGCTCCTCAATAGACCGTGTGAAAACCATTCTCCTGGACCTTACTCTCTCCATCTCCACATTACCTTGCTCCTCAAACATTCCCACGTGACCCATTTTGGTCAGAGAGGACTAGAGCTTGCTATTCTAGATTCCCTGGTTCCTTTTCCAGCTAGCCAGACCCAGAACAAACTGGAAGTCTGCAGCCCTCATAGTAGCTCCTCCACACACAACTGCTGAAAGAGTAAGTATGGACCGGGACCCTAAGAGCCGGGGACCTCACAGACCTCATGGTCCGCCTCCTGGGTGAGTTCATCAGGGCATCAATGAGCCATATTAATAATGAGTGAAAAGCAAGTTGCCCCTCTGAGGACTTGGGACAGGTTCTTGGCCCAGAGTTGTGTTTGTCACTGCAGAAACCACATCATCCGTCAGCATCCCTTTGCAGGTGCTCTGACCTAAGGACATGGGCGGCAGCAGGAAACCTAAGCAGCTTTGGCACTGGGTGGTGGTGGGGCTGAAGGGAGGAGCTTTAGGCACAGTGGCAGGAGAAATGCATCAGGAATTGACAAAGCACCCGGGTCAGTGATGAGAACGAGATGAGGCTGATGGGGAAGCACCGTGGCCAAGAGGAAAAGCTAGCACCCAGCAGTCAGAGATGGGCCAGGTCTTCTAAGGAAATGTATCGGGAACTTTGAGAGGAGAGGAAGCAAAATAATAAACAGTACCTAGCTCTACAAATAAGAGTTGAAACTACCAACCTAGAGGCAGTTTTTACATAAACACAGACACAGTACCAGCGGGTTCCTGCGTATGGTCAGTCACACGTAAGTGACATCCTGTCCGCACTGCGTTACTCGGTGCCGTGCCTAAGGGAAGCCTACCTAGGGGCTCAGCCCACCCATTCTAATCATCGGCAGTCACTGGAATCACGATTCAAGCATCTAGGAAGACGTGATTAGTCACTATAAGCTGGCTATGTACTTTAAAACATATTAAGTGACCATAAACATCTCAGGCATCATCTTGAAATATAGAAATTATGTGTTCATACTGTGTGTGTGTCCCTTACTGAACAGGTGAAAAGCCTAAGTCAGCAGTATGATTTCAAGGTCTCCTGCTCTCTCTCTCCTAATGAGTCTGAAGCCAGACACAGAAATATTTATGGAGTCCCTGGGAGGGGGTCCTGGGAGTCACTATTTTAGCCCAGTCAGTGTTTCTCAACCCTGGCTGCACGGAAGAATCATGGGGCAATTTAGAAAATAACCGAAGCAGGGCCCCACTCAGGCCAATTCAATCAGAGTCTCAGAGGCTGAGGACCCACATGAGGTATTGTTAAAAGGGCTCCCCGAGCTGATTCTAATGTGCAGGCGCATTGAGAACACAGCCCAGACTCTCCCCTACTGGTGATTAGCTGCTGGTTATTCTAATTCTCCAAACAAGTCAGACCTTGGGTTTCATGGAGAAGCCTTCCCCTACTGCCCCGCTCTAGCCCCAAGGAGAAGCCAGCTGCTCACAGGGTGACAACTCCTCTTGCAGCTGCGTTAGCAAGGGCTCCAGGAGGGAGCTCCAACCGGGACGAAGGCTCGAGCACTGGGCGTCATCTGCAAATCCGCTCCTAAGGCCGAACCAATGAAGGGGGCTGGAGCCCAGCAAGGCGGACCCAGGCAGGAACCTAAGCATGGCTGGGCTTTCCTTAGTCAAAATTATTCATTATCTCTTGAAACTTTGTCTTATTTCTGCAATGACTATATGAGAACACTCCTTTTCAATAACTCCTGTGTCATTTCTGGTATTTTTGTTTTTTTGTTCGTTTGTTTGTTTTTTAATAAAGGCAACTTTTATATATACAACTACTCATATTTTCATCTATCTGGAAAAATATTGTAACTTTCACACATTCAACTAAACAGTCATTAATTAGGAAACATGTCAAGCACCATAGTTTTGCCACTTGAAAGAAATTTACCTTGTATTGTATATTAGTCGAAGAAAAGTAGGATTTCTATAAGCACCTCAGCATCGGCCTACAATCAGATGCCTAGAAGAATGTGCACAGCGTCTGGCATTGGAGAGGCAGAAATAACACCGGAGAGACCTGCCTGTGCGTTAAAAATCAAGGACCCGGAATGACCCGAGAAGCATTTCCCTGGCTGAGGACGCCCCTGCTCATGGAGTCTGAGCCATCTGTGAAGATGCGAGCCAGTCGCCAGTCGCCAGTCGCCAGCGAATGGCAGCTCATGCAGAAAGCTATATTTGAACTGCCTGCTTCTCATTTTCCAAGTGTAATTCTAAAGCTCTCCACTTAGATACCTAAAAGCACTGCTTGTTTTTCCATTTTCCTCTCCAGTAATTCTTTTAAACTCTCATCTCTGTGCTTGAAGTACAAGTAATCAGAAAAGGAGGCCCCCCGCCGCGCGCTCTGCAGCGCCCTGAGGCTGGGACACTCCTCTCTGCGGGCGCCATCTCTCTCCTGGCCGCCCTCTGCCCCATGGCTGTCCTTGCTCTTCTCCTGGCGTCCTTCCTTCTGCACGGCCTCCTCCTCCTCTTCTTCCTCCTCCTCTTCCTCCTCCTCCTCCTCCTCCTCCTTCTCTTCTTCCTCCTCGCAGGCTTCCTGGGGCGCCCGGGGGGCTGGCTCAGGCTTGGTGGAGAGATCCTGGGGCACGCAGCGCTGCCTGCTCCGCGGGGCCGGGCCTGGGCTGTCCCGCTCCACCTCGCAGCAGTGGTCCTCATCCTCCTCTTCCTGGCAGGAGCTGCCCCTGGCGCTCTCCCCGTCAGACTGGAAGGCCCGGCGCTTCTGGGACAGGTCGAAGGGCTCCTCCTGCTCCAGACTCCTCAGGACCCCCGCCTGCGCCAGGGCGAGTCTCCCCCTTCCAAAACCTGTGAGAGCAAAGGCAGCCTTCAGGCCCTGGAAAAGCCTTTGAAAAGGGGTGGCTGGTGGTACCCAGGGCCGTTCAGTGTAGCTTGATTTTACAGTTTAAGAATAGATAAACTCCCAGAAAGAATCTACATGGGGGTGACCCCCTCTAGGTGAATTTGGCAACATGCGCCAAAAGGTAAAAACAAGCCTGGCTCACACTTAGCAATTACTGAGAATTTAAACTATGCAAATTTGCAGGTGAACAAGTCTGTGTGTGAGTGTGCTCATCACCACATTTTTAATAATGAAACTGTGAAGACAATGTATCTATTTAATGGTGGAGGTTTGTTTAAATAAATAATAGTGCATCCACACAATGAACTGTGTGTGGGAGATATAGAGACCTAATAACATACAGAGGTATTCTCTATATATTTTAAGTATAAAACATATATACTTATTATGTATATTTATAGTGTAGACCCAGTTCACTCATTCCCTCTTCCTGTCTCTGTCTCTTAAAAAAAAGGATGTCAACAATCTAAAAAATGTGCCCTAACCGGTTTGGCTCAGTGGATAGAGCATCGGCCTGCGGACTCAAGGGTCCCAGGTTCGATTCTGGTCAAGGGCATGTACCTTGGTTGTGGGCACATCCCCAGTGGGGAGTGTGCAGGAGGCAGCTGATCGATGTTTCTCTCTCATCGATGTTTCTAACTCTCTATCCTTCTCCCTTCCTCTCTGTAAAAAATCAATAAAATATATATATTATATTTTTATGAGGTGATTTTTGACATTTTTTCTTTTTATTTCTAATGTTTTTTTTTATTATTTTCAGCAAGAATTTATTTTACTATAAGAAAAAAGATAAAACAATAATAAAGATATTTCCACCCTGAAAAAAAAAAGATATCCCATAAAGAGGTCCCCTGGGGACCCCAGAGCCCCTGTGTCCAATTACAAGTGTCCCTGCTATCAGGTACAGTGATGTGAGAGGGTCTCACTGTTAGTTTAGTTTGAGGACTCTAGACACACACTTTCCAGGAGCCAACAGGCCCGTGGCAGGGCTCCACCTGATTTGATCTTGGCTGTAGTAAGGTCCCGAGGAACAGGTGTGGGTGGCTGGAGAGGTGAACTGGGAGGGATGGGCCTGGGCTGCAGCCAGAGCCTGCGGCACCACAGGGGGACCAGGCTTCTGGGTGGGGAGACACAAAGGAAGCTGATGTTCAGCGCTGCCAGCCTCAAGATGCCGTCAGGCAAGGAAGCTGTCTATAGCTTTAATCTTGTTGGGGGCACAGGGAGGGTCTTTTTGATCTGGGCCTTGGTTTTTGAGCCATTTCAAAAACTGGAATGAAAAATTACTGACCCCTTTTGTAGATGAAAACATTAAAATAGTTGCAAGTCTGTTAAAAGTTTTCAAAGCAGCTCTGTGATATATAGTGATGTTCTTTATTTTTCCAGAGTTGTCAGGTGCCTGCTAGGCTTTTGAGTGTCCATAGGGGCAAGCTGTGGTGAGCAGGTTAGGTGTTCAGGTGCAGACCTGTCTCATCATGGCCTTCTATGTCTCCAGCCCTGGCAATTGAACACACTTCACCTGTTCTGGAAAAATCCAGGCCTAACTTGGGAAGCCGCTCAGGCAACTAGAGATGTGAAGAATAATTCAGGTGAAAAACATGGTTAGGGTGGAAAAATTGCTTTTGTTTTTTAACCAGAATTTTTCAGGGCTTTTGCACCAACTCTAGGCCTTGCTTTATGACCACAGTTCCCTGTCGCCCAAGAGTCAGGGCGACATTGTAAAAATCTGAAAACCACAATCATTCTGTTGTGTGCTCCTTGTTTATGAATATGTGTGCCTATCTGACCATCTCTTTTGAAAAAGGGTGGGAGGAAGAGCAAACACAAATGAGTCACCTGTGTTTTCATCTAGTGTGGTGAGCACTGGCTTGACTCAGAAATTCTTTAATTGAAACCCCAGTTCTGCCTTCAGACTTGCTGTTTGACCTTGAGCAATTTATATCACACCTCCCGGCCTTGGTCTCCTCTTGTATAACATGAGAACAACACAGTCTACTTTGTGGAATTGTGGGAATGAGCTCTAACATGTCTAGCCCTGTGCTTTGATCATATTAGTGACCAGAAAAGAGCGGCCAGCTAATACGATGTAAGTTACCTCTATGTATGTCTTCTTTCCCTACACACAGACCTCCCAGAGGACAAAGCTGGTCTCTGTCCCTCACTGCTGCCACGGCTCAGAGCACACGCCTAGGACGGACTGCACTTACTGCCTATTGAAAGACTGCCTGGGTAGGTGACGAAGGAGCAACCTGCCAAGTTCAGTAGATCTGGAACATGAACTCTGGGGGCCCTGGGACTGACAAATAAGGCGAGAACTTTCTATCCATTCAGTCAGGACTCCGGGAGGGAGACATAGCCCCACCGAGCAGGAGAACTGCCCTTGAGCCTGTCTGGTCCTGAACAGGTAAGAGGAGGCCTGCCTGCTACAGACAGACCTCTGCTGACAACAGAGCTTGCAGACCTGTTTTCCCAAAAGCGGGGGGAAACTGCATGCCCTTTAACAGCCGTTTGTCGAAGTGTACACAAGACGGCTTTAGAGTCAGAAAGGTCCGTGTTCAAATCCTGGCTCTGCCAGTTTTCAGTTGACCAACTTCTGGCAAATTAATGTTGGGAAGCCTCAGTTCCCCCATCGGTAAAATGGGGATAACAGAAGTCCCTCCAGCCTGAAGCTGGCATCATTACAATGTTCCAGTTGTCTTTCTAGACTTCATTTGTACTTGATACCTTCAGATCTTAGCATTTTATTTGTTATCATAACATTGTCAGCTTGCTCCTGCTACCCTGCTGTAGTCTTGAAAGTTACACTCCCTTTTTCAACCATAAGAATAAAGTGAAGTCCCCTGTAAACAAGGTCACCGCCCATTTGTTACCCACTGGCCTCGCAGGCATGGGGGCTTCTTGGGAGATTAATACCTTGAGAATGGAGGCCCCGCTCCATGACACCGTGCTTGACTTTCATGTGGCGCGTCAGGTTCCCCTTCAGGGTGAATTTGCTGGGGCAGTAGAGGCACTTGAAGGGTTTGCTGTCAGAGTGCAGGTGCATGTGGCCCATCAGGTTGTGCATCCGGTTGAACTCCTTCCCGCACAGCTGCCGGAGACAGTGACAAGGAGAACACAGGTTACTTGCAGGCAGGGGACCCCACCCAGGTGAACCCACAGCCAGGCCCGTGTGAGGCCCTTTGCTTGGATCTGGGCATTTCAAGTGGCTTGCAAATGCCCCTGTGGAAGTCAAGGAGGGGGTGAATTGTGCCCAGGCGCAGAGGTGCAGCAGGTAGGGGTGGACTCTTGAGATTTTGTTCCTGTGGTAAAGGATTTAAAACTCAAGGTAAAAATCACAAAGCTCTAAAAGCTTCTTTTGCACCTTTTGAAAAGGAGAAAAGCTGATCTGAAAAGCAATTGCTCAAAGCGTGCTTCACTTGGTTAATAACGATACAGTTACTTGCTTAATATTTATGGAGCATTTGCAATATGGAAGGCACTATCCCCAGTCTGCCATGGAATATCACACTTAATTTTCACATCAGTCCTATGAGGTGCGTACTGTTGTCACCCCCATTTTACAGATGGACAAACTGAGGGATTAAGATTGGCCAAGGCACACAACTAGTGGGTGCTGGAGTTGGGATAATGAACTCAGGTCATTGGACACCAGAGGCCACGTGGTCAGCCACCACACCATACTTTTCTAATTTTTAAATGTGCTAATTATTGGAATGAATTTCGAAGTCAAAAGGAAGATGGAGACATGTAAAGGAAGGAGTGTGTCTTTTCTCTGGGTAGAGATTTGAAGTAATGAAAATATCTCAGGTATACAAGAAGTAAACTTATTTTATTCATTTTTTTTCTTTGTCACTTCTCTTTATTTCCATTAAAGTGCAAATGCATGATGGACCACAACAGTGGTTCTCCAACTTCTTTCAGAAGAAACACTGTCTCTTCCAAGGCACTGTCTGCAGGTGGGGAGAGTGTGCTTTGCTCGCTCTTGTTGTCCCCAAGCCTGAGCAAGGCAGGGTTTGGAGACTCCAGCCCCTTCTTGGCTGTACCTGGACACAGTGTCAAGGGAGGAACATTCCCCGTCCCACCCCAACCTCAGAAGCCAGTACGGAGTGAGAGATGCCACAGAGAGAGGACTGGGACTACAGAGTCCTCTAAAGCTGACATCAGTTTTCCTCTCTTCCTGAGAGGGATTTTCAGGGCCATTGTCGGGGATTCTGGATCCACTTCTTGTTAATGAAGGCAACGTTTTCCTCTTGTGGCTATGGAGGTGAGAGTTGAGCTAGCTTTGGCAGAATGGGCAGACCTAACAAATGGTGACCTTGAGAGATTAGCTCAAAAGAATGCTGGATGGTAAGAGGAAGCCAGCCTGGGGTTATAAATTTGTCACAGATAATCCACACATGGATAATGAATGGTTGGTTCTGTATTTTTAAATGATTCATATTTGGGAGTTTTAAGTACTTTTTCCCTTTTTACTTCCTTACTAGCAAAGATGAATTCCCACACTCAGTATTCAGAGTATGTGCACACCACATTTATTTGGAAATGGTGACACCCAAGAAGGGAAAGACTGAGAGTTGGTCTAATTTCAACATCTTCAGGAGCCCTACATGTGGGATGGATATTTGCTTACTTTTATTTTCAATAGAGACAATGTATTAAGATATTATCAACCTAAGTTTTGCACATGTGTGCAAGTTCTGGAAACCTTTTGTGATCTATTTATTAGCTTAGTTTATGCAGTTCTCCGCTCTGGCTACAGAAAAACAAAAGCTTTGAATCTAAAGATTCTGCATTAGATATTCAAGTCATGGTCATTTTAGAAAAAGTATATTTCATTTGGTTCCTGATTATTTGGCATGATGCTGCAGCAGAAGACTCATAAACAGCAAAATAAGCTCTACCTCCTTCCCCCTCCCCCCTGCCAACAAGAAGACATGCAGGGAGAGAGGAGCTGGAGGCTGGAGGATCAGTTGGGCTACTGCGCTAGTCCAAGCCTAAATGGGTCTCACAGTTCTACAGGCCAACCGAGAAAACTGAAAGGACAAGATGGGTGCCTTCTGCACTTGGATCCCATGAAGGGCGAAATTCCACTGTTAGTTATTATCTATGGTTGCCAAGATATTAGAAGCTGGACTTCTGAAAAGGTCTTATAAAAGAGATGGGATTTTAGCCTAACCTTGAAGAATGTGTAGAGTACCCTTTTTGGGGGGTTTTGCCATAAGTATAGTCTTTTTATTAAACATATTTAGATACTGATCTTAGACACAGGCAAGGTCACTGTCACTGTTGTGATAATGATTAATCGCTGTTGCTGCCACAATTGCTATAACTTTGGGGTCAGAGAAGACCCTGCACTTCACCTGCCCCAAGGTCCCACCTCCCTTCCCCTCACCCCTCTCCCATCCCACACACAGAAGTGTGCATACATCACAATGGCTACCACGGGGCATTTCCTAGAATCTTCCTCGGCCTTAGACAAGCAACATTTTATGATCTTTTATCAAAGCCCAGTGTGTGTTTTTCTATTCTAATGTTTCTTTTCTGACTCAATTCATTCACGACTAAACTTCCTGGGACATTTCAATGCTACGTGGGGACATTGGGACATTGATATTGTCCCCTGAAGTCAAGGCCTATGGCCTCAGGGAAGGTCCACTGTGGGACATGACCGGGAAGCTATATTTTCTGATGTGTGATTGGTAAAGGAGACTGCTTGCTGTGCTATTGGTAAAAATTAATTTTTATTTACCAGAGTTATCCTTCATGGTTTATGTAGCTTACTGGGCCGCCAATGGAGAGCTCTCCCAGGCTGAGTGGAGGTATGTGAACTCTGAAAGATGCCGAAAGCACCTTCAGAAGTGCTAGGGCTACCTTCCTTGTCTTTGTGGCTAACCTCAGTATCCAGCAAAGGGGGACCAGAGAAAGAAGACTGGGTCCATTAAAGATGGTGCCATGGTTTGAGATATGAGCTCCAAGCATAGTCCCTGTAGCAGAGGAAGGGAGTTAGACTAGAAGGAAGAAGTCAGGGTGAGAGGGAGCATCAAAACCCTAGTTTCTTCTCCTGAGAAAAGCAGCCATCAATGTCAATGCCCCCTTTCATCACGACAGGTGAGGCTAAGAGTTTGCTCAAGGCAATACTTGCTGCATCATCTCCCGCCCAGGTCTGCGAAGATTCAGATACGGGCAGGTATTGGTGGGGGACGCTGCTTGAGTGGAGAGGACAGCGTTCCTCTTGCAGGTGGTCATCTCAACCGCCAACCCCTCTTAAGCTCCTAGTTCTCTAATGAGGGATATTAGTGAGGCTGATATGAAGTCCCAGCTTTCCCATCGATGCCCACATTTATACCTACTTGTTCAAGAAGTAGGTGGACCTCAACATTTAATAGAAAATTAACCACCCACCCCTCTGAAACTCCCAGTTCTCTAATGAGGGATATTAGTGAGCCTGATACGAAGTCTCAGCTTACATTTATACCTACTTGTCAAGAAGTAGGTGGACCTCAACATTTAATAGAAAATTGGAACAAATGTTTTGAACTGTCCTTTAATAGTGGGTTGCATGGGTCATTAGGCTTTGAGAGGGCAGAGCAGAGAGGTGATGGTGAGACCTCAGAGGGATAGAGAAGGAATTCTCCATTTTCTCTTCCCTAAAATGTCGATGATAATAATAGTTTTTTTTTTTATAAAGATCAAATGAGACAATTCATGTAAAGGGTTTGGCAAATAGAGCTCAATAAATATGAGTTTTTATTACTATCATTATTGTGTACTATGCTCTTACATTCCAGAAATAGGAAGATCTTTGAAGATGGGGGTGCTGTCTTTTTAAACCAAATTATTTGCAGGGAGTACTGAAGGAAGGGAGGGATCCTTTGTGTAAACACCTGCCAGGTTACCTGAAGCATAATAGAGAGGGAGGCAGTTGTGCCTGACCCAGCACTGGGAAACGTGGGTGGAAAGAGAAGATTCCTCTTAGACTGCAGGTTTTGGGAGAACCCAGTGTCTGGCTTCCTGATCCTCAGCCCGCTAAACAGCTGACAGGCGCCCTGTTCCTCATCTTCATAGGAGTTCCGAATTCCAGCTCCCTGGTGCCTCTTCCCTCCCTGATCCAGGGCCTGGAGATGCCTCAGGCAACTTCCCATGAGTCCCAGCGATGATGCTGACAGCCAGAGCCACGGAGAAGCCCAGGCGGCTGTGTGCAGCGGGGCAGCGGCTGGGCGGGGGCCAGAGGCCCGCGAAGCCAAGAAGGGCCACACTGCTTGGTGCCAACCAGCCTGTGTGAGCCTGAGGACTGGGATGCGCCAGGAAGCCCGTGTTTTCCTATTCTGGGAGAAAAGGTCAAAGAGCTGCAGCCTGCAGCCCAGGAGAATGGCCTCCGCTAAGCTGCCCTTCCCTTACATTCTTTTCTCTCTCTCTCTCTTTTAATAAGAAGGGTGTTCCTTTCCTCAAAGGGAGAGAGAGGGAGGGAGGGAGAGAGAGACTGTAAACTGTCCAAAAGGGCCGTGAGAAAACAGGAAGCTTTGAAAAGTACAAGAGAAAGCAAGATGAAATCTATTTGCAGGCGGGCCCCTGGGGACATGTGAGGCATTGTTAAGCAGGCAGTTCATACAGCTATATCCTTCCTTCTGCCGAGGAGGGCTTTGCTGCCAAAAGGCTGCTATCTGGTCACTGCCTTAACCCCCTCAATGCCAGCCTGAGAGCCTTGGTTCCAAGTACTGAGCCCCTAAAAGTCCCCACATGGTTTCTCCCCCACGAGGCATCCAAGAGCCGGAAGGGAAGATGGGGCCTGTTTGGCAGAGGCGGTGGGGACCCTTTTCAAGGAGACCTCATCCTCTTCTAGCGGCTCTGCCCTTGGCCTTCAGGCCTCTGCATCAGACCCGGCTGCAGATGACCTGGTGATTCATAACTTAGGCAGCTCCCGGCTTCACCCATCTCAAAGGAGAATGTGTCCCGGAAATTCTGGATGGCTGCTTTTCCTGGACAGGTTTCCCAAAGACGGCAGCTGGTTCTTTGCTTTTATGGAGTGTGGCCGCTACAAGGATAGCATCCAAGTCGACCCCCGCATGCTTACGCAGAATCTGGGAAGCATCTTTCTGAAACAAGCTTAAGTGCACAGGCGCAGGTCTCTGGACCAGCTCCAGCTGGCTCCAAGAGCTAGGAGTCCAGGAGCCGAGCCAATAGCAAAAGAGCCCAGAAGGGCAGTAATTTCTTTTTATAAGGAAAGAAAAAGAAACAGAATGGAAACCTTTCTTCTCCTCTAATTTTCCATTCTATTGTTACTGCTTAATCCCACCGTGAGCGAACTTTGCTGCTTGCTGAGGACAGCTGTTTGCACTGAGCACGGACTGAAGAGAACCAGTTCATATTGCAACAGGGGGAGGGGTTTATTTTAGGAAGGATTTTTAGTGGGGAGAGTCCCAAGAAATTAAAATCTATTACTTAAAGAATCTCCTTTTTTTTTTTGCAAGGTTGGGGTAAAGGAGACAGAGCTACCTCTCAGAGTATGGCAGGAGCAAGGCCTGCCCTTCTCCTTCCCCAACCCCCACCCCAGCCATGCCAATCCTGTGAAGGGAATGTCTGCCCTGTTACCATGATCAAGCCTTGGTTTAGTTGTCTGGCCCTGTTCTCCATCATCACTATGTAGCCTGCCAGCCACTCCTCTCTGAAGGCTCTGGATTACACAGCAATGAGCAAATGGCCCTCCATTCCTTTCCCAACTCTCAAATCCACAACAAGCTCCACCCAGGGCCAGACTTCCAAGAATCCAGCACAACATGGATGGGAATCAAAGTCCGCAGGACACCCTCTCAAGGTGACCCGTTTCACCGTGGCATCTGGAGCTAGTTTTCCAACACACAGAGGCCCGTTACATAGCCTGTGAACTCAGACCGGCTCTGAAATGCCTTTGAAGTGAGGAGGGTGATAGTAGAAAGGGGACACTGAGCAGGGTGGCACTTTGCAGGGAGATGGGAACAAATAGAGGAAGAACCTGTGGTATGTTTCTGGCACTTTCCAGGAGACAGAGAATTCTTATTCAAGGTGACTGACACCTGTTCTTGTTTTAGAAAAGTCTAAGAATTGAGAAGGGCCACCTGCGTTTGATTTTTTTAAAAATTCTCCTTTAACATCCAATTCTTTTTGTTCAAATGATACTAGTATATGCACTCTTCTAGGCCTCCTGACCTACAGCTGCTGAGAGACCTAGGTCCCAGGAAGAAGTGACCTTGAAGATACCATCCCAGTTCCTGCTCCAGGACCATCTCCCTTGGAGTGTATAAACTGTGTTTCAGAGCTGGCATTTTAGGCTACAAGTCCTTCTCTCATGGTGTGACCAGATATCCAGAGCCTAATGCACACTCAAGGAGAAGTTGAGTTGAGTTTCTGGACCATAAAGTTAGCCATCAGACACCCATGTGTGGTGCCCTATCACTGGGGAAGAGGGAGCAGTTGTTTATGAAGGGAGGCCTGAAACATCAAGCCAGGCTGGCTCACTGCATCACTGGACCCTTCTTGTACTTGCATTGTACAGTCTTCTATGAACTGGTACCAGAGAGAACCCTCTAAATCCTCAGATACCACCAGGGCCATGAAATCCTCCAGGCCCCTCTGAGGCCCCTGATATAAAGAAATAGGACTGTCTCTGTGGCCCCAAATCACACATAGCCTGCAAGCCCTTCTCCTGTATTGGCTCTGCCCCCTGACATATCCCTCTGTTTCAGAGACGTTTTCTTCCTGGTTTAACCACTACTTCTGGACCTGAATTAATGAGGTGGAGGTAGGAGTTGGTTGGACTGGACAGGTGTGAAATTTTAGGGAACTATGCAATGGCTAATTATGCAATGGCTCCCTTCATATTTTAACAACTTTATGTGCTCTCTACCACCAGTTGATAAGATAAAAAATATAGAATGTGCTTGAAGTCCAAGAGTAAATTCAACACAGGAATGAAGCGTGGAAAAGAGCTCCTGTTTGCACCTCCATTGTAGGAGACAGGAAACCCTGGCAGGCAGAAACAGCTCTATTAAAAGTGCAGGGGTCAAAGGGCTTAGTGAAGTGGGTAGGAAATCAAAGAAGTGCCTAGAGAGAGAGGAGTTGGTCTATGGTGTCCATTGGCTCACGCAGGAAGGCGTGCAGCCTAGGCTGTCACACAGGACCCCAAACTCAGAAGGGTCCTGAGTTCTGCATAATGCTCTGTTTCCACTATCTTAAATTCTTCCTAACATTTGAACAAAGGGCCTCACATGTTCCTTTTGTACCAGGTCCTACATGCAGCTTCCTCCCTGTTCAGCTCAGATGACTCAAGATGGACATAAATTGACTTTCAAACTACCAGAACTTGAAGGAAAGGAGGGGAAACACAAGTGGGTGGCAGGAAAAGGGCTGGAGGGAGAAATCTCCCTCCCCCACCTCCGGAGAATGCCCACACAGGTCTAGGGAAGCTCTGGTTCCTGACCCCTCTCACCCTGTCCAGGAGTGGCCAACACAGGAAAGAAGTTGGCTTCACAGGGGGTTCCTTCAAGTGGGGAGACATGCTGCAGAGGCATGAACGCACGAACAGCCCCTGGAAGCAGAACACCCTACTTCAGAAATAGGAATCGACTGAGAATATCATTTGGACCGCATCAGACATGCAGTAACACAGAAAAGAGAAACTTCCATTTCCAACAGAAATGCTTAGTGTTAGCTGAACATGGTGATTTCCCTCTTCTTCCCCTCAGCTCCCTCCTCAAGACGTGCATTCAATGACACTTGCCGGTACATTCCTTGGATGAAACTACCCAATCCTGAGCAAGACTCCTTTTCCTCTTAGAAGTGAAGAGCAACAACGTTGGGAGGGGACAGCCTGGGAAGCCCAAGCATTTCTGAGTGACACCACCAGTGCCTTGGGTTTTACAAATCTTCAGCTCACACATTATCTTAGCTGATGAAATAAAAATCCAAGCAAGTTAATGTGACACGGAGATTTTAACAAAGGTGCTCCAGGTCCTTAGGAATAAGTGAGAAATGCTTCAGATGACTGTGCTCACACTCATTCCTCGGCCCAAGCAAGCATTTCTGAGATCATCTGAGGGAGGCTCTCAGAATATCTGTCATCCTCTCTGGAAGACCTGCCTTCAAATTATGCCACTTAGCCCAAGTATCAGGAGGGCAGGAGGGGAGGGGTGAAATGGGAGTGGGGGCAGTGCTAGAAGCTTCTCTGACTCCTTTCTGTATTCTACTCATTGGCTTGTACAGGGAAGAGGGCCACACTGGATTGCTCCTTTCTAGAACAGGAGCTCTCCACATCCCTTCATCCTTGAACCACCTCATTCTCCCAGTGGTCCTTCCACCCTCAGATCTTCCTCTACTGGTGCCTCTACCCCCAGGAACTGATTCCGCAGTGAGACAAGCAGGGCCCAGCTGAGGGTTGGTGTGAGCAAAGGTGTGGTGGAAAGAGAGAAAGAGCAGCAGATGAGCCTGGGGTTGGCCATGGACTTACTCTGAGCTTCTGTGGCCCTGATGAAATGGAATAGAGGGTTCCCTGGAGACTCTTCCCCATTAGGCGTTTGCACAACCCTCAAAGTCCCCCCTTTCCGCACTCTCCCAGGGCCCCCTGCCCACCTTGCATTTGAAAGGCTTCACGTCAGAGTGGACGATCATGTGTGCCTTGAGGGTCTGTTTCTGCACAAAACTCTTGTAACAGAGGTGACACTGGTAGGCGCGGATGTTGGTGTGGATCAGCACGTGTCTCTTCATGTTGGCCAACAGAGTGAACTCCCGCCCGCAAATCCCACACTTGTGCTCCTTCACACCCTGCAGGGAGGCAAGATTCAAAACAACTGTGGTTAGCAGGTAACCTGCTTTCATCTGGGTTGTAGTCTTTGTTTTTCTTTCTGCTGCATAAATCCATGATGAGCTTGTTGGTAGATATTTAGTTCCAAATGATGTGGCTTTTAGCCTTGTTAAATTGCTATTTTCCTGAAAAATGTTGATTGCATAATCTTTTTTTTTTCTCTCCAAAAACCATAAACTACATACAATTAGAGAAAAGGAAAGCTAATACTTTTGTTGTTCCTGCTGCTGCTGGGGTTAATTCTACAGTAACAGTTCTTGGGGATTAACGGGATTTTGGTAAGAGCACTGTGGAATGATATTCGAAATGAATCTATAATCCTGCTTTCATGATAATGAGAAAAATACCTCCAAAACTGATAATATCATTTCCCATATCTTGAGTTCTTATTAATGGACTTGAAAATCCCAGAAGAACAACTTATATCCACACTTCCATAAAGTACAACTTGATAATCACCTCTTGAGATGGTCCCCTGAGTTCTTATAGGCCACAGTGACCTCTGTTTGATTTGGGTATAGAACCTCCTCTAAGCCAGCTTCTGTCCTATAGAGAAATGTGACAGATGATAACTTTCCGAATTAGAAAAAGAGATTTTCTAGTTTCCTTGCTGTTTGTGGAGAAGTGTTTGAAAAACTTAAGCATCAATGCCCTTAGTTGAAAGCATTTCCAGAGACTCATAGCAGGAATAGAATATTAGCTGATCCTGACTAACCAGTGCTTCCCTGAAAAAGCCTTTGCAAGGAATCTTGGTCCAGAATGACTTTTTGGAAGGAAAACTTAGAGAACTCTAGCATTAAAATTAAGGTTAATACAGGTTTAGATCAAGTTGCCTAGCTAACAATTGTACTTTATAAATCCCTTACTGGCTGGTATTTATAGTGACTTATGGAGGGAGGGGTTCCATGCTTAGCTCTGCCTCTCTCTGCCTGTATTTTCAGTTCTTTAATTTGGGACACGGTAAGAAAGTACCATTCCTCCATTTTGATGAGCCCATGGCACTAAAGGGTGAGTTCAGATCTCTGCCCAGCCACTTACTGGCTGCATGGCCTAAGGCAAGTCTTGTGGCCTTTCCTGGTGAAGGCTTCCTCATCTCAAGATGAAGAGGTAAGCCATGAGAACCTGGAATGCTCTCTAGTCTAATTATTGCAGAGGAGTATGGACTGATGCTAATGAAGATATATCAATTTAAAATATGTGTTGCATATTCAAACAGTGAGTTTAGAATTATGAAATTAATGAAAACTATTTTCTTGATGGCTTATAAAATTTACTTAGGATCTTTCTCCTCAAGATTGTCTCTATACTGGCTATGATCCAGTCGTGCTGGGACCAAGAAGTATCTACTTATCACTGTTTTGGAATTTTCTAAAGAGAAATCTGTGTCCAAAGTAAAATTCATATGTGGGATAGCCTAGAACCCAAGTGAATGGGAGCCTGGACGCAACTTTGGGGGACACAGGAAGCTACTGTGTCTCTAAAAGGATCAGTAGAATCACAGAGGGGAAGTTTGTGGAGTTGTTAGGGGAAGGGAGGGAAGTGGGTGAAGAAAGGGAAGTCTTGGCAATAGGGTTCAAGAGCTCAGGTACTGGAGTCAGAGATTCTGGGTGACTGCCCCATGCCTCAGCGTCTCATTTGCAATTTTGGAGTAATGATACCGACAAGTAGCTCTTAGCATTGCTGAAGCGGATTACATGCAAAGTAAAGCAGCTGCCACAGACGCATTCAATAAATACTACCCCTCGCTGTTTGCTGACACCCTTTATTAAAATGCATTCTGTTTCTTAATTTAAATGAGACTTATTTCAGATACCAGGCTGTTTTCCCATTTTGACTTACAGAATTTTTATGTTTCAAAATGCACCTTTGATTCCTTATCCACACACGTAGGAGCCCCATAAAATTATCTCTTTGGTGGCTGAAGTGTAGTTTCTTTGTTGATGGTCCCTGCACTCGGCAGGCCCCTCTTCTCCGGATGCTATCTACCGGTGCCTTGTGTGGGGCAGGAGCTGTCTGCATAGAGTTCATAAGGCAGCCACACATCTCATCGCTGCAGTGGAGCTAGAAATGCCCTGTGCTATGTCCTAACCTATCAGATAAAACCCATGGCAGAATATAAAGGGCATCTTGACTGGGAAAAGTCCTCCACAGACCTTTCAGAACTGAAGAATGTTTTAGGAACTCTGCCTTTTTGGAAGTCTCTCTTGCCAAGAAAACCACTTGAGGTCAAAGGTGTGAGGTAAAGGTCAGTGGAACAAACTTTCCCTCTCAGAAGCTCAAAGCAGCCCCAAGTCAGCTCAGCTGGGTAAGATTTTGGGACACCACTGGGGCCTTGTTTTAGTTCACCCTGGATGGCTCCAGGGCTCTGGTTACAAACTCGGCTGAACTGAGACCTGTAGGCCTGTATTTCTCCTTGAAGACCCTGCTCAGGGAAGATAAAATCTAACCAGAGAAGGATGCTCTCTCACGCCTCCTCCATACAAACCACGGGGCACCACAGTCAACTGGGCAGGGGCTCCACCAGGGAAGCACAGACCCCGCTGGATGCAGCCTCTGTTCCCCCAGAGCCACCTGCACATGAAGCAGGTGTCACAGTTGAGGGAGAAGACGGCGGGAAAGTAAACCACTGCTTCAGCAGCAAGGAACCAAGAGAGTTCTCTAGAAAAAGGCGCTGAAGAATGTACTCAGGCACAGCACTGGTGTCCGGTAGATAAAGCCTGATGACACACTCATGCTGGCACCCTGAATGACGTTTCCAGAAACAGAATTTTAGAAATTCTAGGAAACGAAGAAGCCAGAGCACACAGACCTGCTGTTTCCTTCCTCCTTCCCACCCTCTTCTCCGAACAGTACACATTATTTATTTCTAGGCCCATCTCAGACCCTAGAGTAGTGGTCGGCAAACTCATTAATCAACAGAGCCAAATATCAACAGTACAATGATTGAAATTTCTTTTGAGAGCCTAATTTTTTAAACTTAAACTATATAGGTAGGTACATTGTTATTAACTTAATTAGGGTACTCCTAAGGCTTAGGAAAAGCCACACTCAAGGGGCCAAAGAGCCGCATGTGGCTCGCGAGCCGCAGTTTGCCGACCACTGCCCTAGAGGAAAGGACTTGATTGCTAGTCTCCTCATTCTCCCCATTGGCAGGTGAGGGAGGACATCAGGGCTCAGGGGAGGGGAGCCGCTGGGCTGCACAGCTCCTCCTGGCGGAGGTGGGGAGCAGCGCGGTCTCCTGGCCCCTGACCCCAGGCGCAGCCAGGTGGCCCGCCCCAGGCTGGGGTCCCGCGTACCTTGTGGGTGAGCGAGTGTTGCTTCAGGTGGTGGGGCTGCACGAACTCCATGCCACACTCGGAGCAGATGTAGGGCCGGATGTCCTTGTGCTTCATCATGTGGTTCTGCAGCTGGCTCGGGTACTGGAAGGTCTTGTCGCACTCGGAGCAGTTGTACTGGATGGGCCCGCGGTGCGTGGTGAGGTGCCGCTTCAGCTGCGCCAGGGTGGGGAAGTCGAGGCCGCACTCCACGCAGATGTTCTCGCGCCCGTTGGCGTGCTTGGCCTCGTGGGCCTTGAGCTCGCTGGGGTAGGCGAAGCCCCGGCCGCACACGCGGCAGTTGTGCGGCTTCACCTCGCTGTGCTGCATCATGTGGCGCTTCAGGTGGCTGGTCTGGGTGAAGGCCTTGTGGCACACCTGGCACTTGTGGGGCCGCGTGCCCTGGTGCGTGAGCATGTGCGTGTGCAGGTGGCTGAGCTGCTTGAAGAGCTTCCCGCAGCGGGTGCACGCGTGCGGCTTGATCCCGCTGTGGCCCAGGATGTGCGTGACCAGGTTGTACTTGGACGTGTAGGACTTCTCGCAGGTGGGGCACTGCCAGCGCTTCTGCGCCCCGCCCACGTCCACGTAGTAGCTGTCGTCGATCTGCACGTTCACGTCCATCCGCTCCACCTTCTGCTTGGCCTCCTCGCCCTCCGGGGGCTCCGCCTTGCGGGGCAGCAGCGGGTCGGGGGGCTGCTTGGGCAGGAAGGCGTGCCGGCTGAAGGGGAACGGGGAGGCTGCGGGCACGAAGAAGGGGAACAGGAGGCCCGGGGGCACCTTGGGGTAGTAGGGGTAGGGCGTGGGCAGGAAGGGCGCGGGCGCCGGCTGGGGCCACATGGCGCTGGGCTTCACCGGCTCCTGCTTGACGCGCTTGCCGCCCAGGGGCTCCAGGCTGCGGTAGAACTGGAAGCCCACGTTGCACAGGTCGATCATCTGCGAGTCGTATTTGGGGCGCGGGGGCTGCGGGAACAGCAGAGGGAAGTTCGGGTGGCCATGGAGTTTGCTCTCCTCGGAGTGGAGGCCCAGGGCGGCTTCCTCAGAGGGGTGGGTGTAGGGCATCTTGGTGGGCACGCTCTTGCGTTTCCGGGACCCTCCTCCTTCAAAGACCCCCGGGAAGCCATCCAGGTCTCCGGGAGGAGGTTCGTACCGGAACTGGGAGAAAGGCCCCCTGAGAGCTTCTGGGAAGGGGTGTCTTTGGGGAGCTTTGCCCCGGGAAACCACTGGCTGCAGGCAGTGGGGGAAAGGGGGGGCCCTCTTCACACCCAGGTTGAAATGCGCATCCTCATCTTTGATCATCTTCATTTCCTTCTGCATCCTTGGCAATGTTCCTTAAAGATAAAGAAAGTTATTGTTTAAAGAAGAACCTCTTTTCCATTAAGGCTTTTGGCTAGATGTCAGTACTAGTTTATGAAGAGTAATGCTTGCTTAATACTGACCCTCATTTATGCTAGGACTGTT